GTTTATGATGAAAATCTATAGAACCTACGTATGCATAAGGCAACATCAGTTTTCATTATAATCATATTTCACTCATTATAAAGTCCCAATATTTCTTGTTAGTCATATAATTACATGAGAGATGTTTCTTCCAGAATCAATACATTATCATTGAAATTGTACTAAATTTACAAATATATTTTAGTCTTTAATATATATGTTGTCAAAATTCAGAGAGATTAAATTGATAAATATCTTCCTATTGCATCTTTTCATTTTTGTGAATTATAAGCAACTGTCAAGCCTCTGGAGTTTTATAAAATTATCATCCTGCTATCAAATATAAAGTTACATTTCTGATACCTTTGCCTGTTCTTATATAGAAAATCACTTACAGGAATACTATTTAGGATATCAAATATTATTTCAAGTAAGATAAAGTTGCAGAAATATGCAGAAGAAAAGTGGAACTAGGATTGCCTGGAACAATGTGACATGCCAGGACATCTGATACCTGGCATATGCTTATGGAATACCACAAAAGTCTTCATTTTGAAAACTACACCTTAACTTTTACATATATTTTATTAATAGAGGATTAATTGAGTAGCATTATTTAATACTAAGGGAGGGAAAGATGAAGTGATGAAAGGAAGGGAGGAAGGAGGAAGGAAGGAAGCAAGGAAAGTAGGAAGGAAGGATAATTGATGAGTCAGGATTCTCAGAGAAGACTGGGTAACGCTAGCTATCTTAATCAGAAAGAAATTTATTAAGACACATAGATAACTCAAAACTGTTGGGATTGCAGAACAAACAGATTGCAAGAGGTGTTCCATGAATTACTCCTTGTGTTACCCCAGAACTCGCCAAAATCAGGAAACTGAATCAGAAAGCCACCCCACAGCCACTGACCTCAGAACCTGACCCCTACCAGGAAGTGTACCAGTAGGACAAATGCTCTGTGCTTGCCCTTTATCCCTACATAACCAAGCTCTAAAGCAAAGTTTTCTGTGGGGGCAAGGAAAGCTGAATTGTGTTCGATGTATTTCTATTATTATTATTATTATTACATTGAAAATGCATGTTTTACAATGCAGAAAATTAGCAAAATGTGCAGATTTCTCAAAAAAAAATTGGGAGACACACAAATTAAAATATCCAATATGGAATTTGTTTAACAATCCCAAAGCTTGGAAGTTTAAGGATTTATTCTAGATAGATCTTGCAATCTTGAAGACAGATTTAAACACGCACATTTATTTGTTCAAAACTTTTAACAAATCTATTTAGAATTATTTTTCTTTAAGTTTTCTCTTTTTCCTTCCCTTGAGTTGTTTCCAAGTCATAAAAGAGAGGGAAAGAGAGGGAAAAGAGAGGGAGAGGTAACTCTTAATTTTTCAACGTATTGGAATAAAGTTAATAATTACTTCTGAGATGTAAGATGGTCATGTCTTATCACCGTTTTATTGGTCTTTCTTTTCTTGACTATTTACATAGAAAAATCTGGAGATGATATCATTTTGTGTCCCTCTCCACTGTTCTGGAAGTATTAGTTTCTGATAGCCTATTTCCCAAACTGAGAATTGTTCTTTTTTTTTATTTGTCATAAGAAAAATGATTCTTATCAACATATTACTAAAAATTATTTACTTGACACAATTTATATTTGAGTAATAAAAACCAAAAATAAACAAAAATAAAACCCATAATTCTTTAATTTCCAGAAGGAAAAATCAACTATCGACAATTTTTCTAAAAATATATGTTTTCTTTACATTGGATTCTAGCTGTTTTCAGGATTCCTGATGAATTGTGCAAAGGAATTATCATGAAAATCTTGAAGAAACTAGGAAAGGCTGGATTTTGGAATAAAATCAGATTTATGACAATCTAAGTGAAGCTATTTAAAATATTCTTGTTTCCTAAAATAATGAGGAATTCAACTAATTTTCTATGGCAGATATTGACACATTCTCTTCTTTGATACGAAGCTATGCCACATTTCCTAGACCCCTGGAATTTAGAGGAAACCAGCTGACAAATTCTCCCCACTAGAATGTGAGTAGAAGTGACATGTTCCAAGTTCAGATTGAAGTAGCTAAGAAATCAGTATGCCTTCTCCACATTCTCTCTTTTTGTCTATTGCCTGGGTGCAAACACTGCAGTGCTGGCCCTAAAGAATGAAACAGAGTCCCTGCCTAATCACACTGGACTGTAAAGTGAGCAATGGGATTATTTTGATTGCTATTTAAAGCTTTTAACCTAGCCTGCCTGATGTACATCTGTGAACATACTGTGCTTTGGGAGAAAGTAGTAAATATAAAAATGTGATCTACATATTCAAGCTGCTTCATATTGGTGCAAAAGTATACTGTAAACTCAAAAGCATTTTACAAATATATTATTGTTATTAATATAACAATAAAAATATTAATAGTTACACAGAATTTAGTATTTCAATTGTCTTTGTGCTTGGGATGAAAGTTGGGGAAAGGAATGAACAGACAAGGAAAATCCTATTAAATTTGAATTTTCTGAGAAGTAGTCCATGTTACAGAACCAGAGAAGTTTGGCTTTCAACTATTCTATTAGTTGCATTAATTAAGAAAAATATAGATTTATAAAAAGATGTAATGCATAAGTCATAGACAGTTTAAAAGATGTAAGAAACCTGAATCTTGACCTTGCATTGTTTCTGTTTTTTTCCTTAATGCACTTTTATTTAATTTAGCTTAGCTATTTTAAAGATCATATTACTCTAGTCAGAAGTAGTGTTTTAAAATTCAGCTGGGTCACAGGAACTTTCTCGCCACTCCATTCTAATTTGCAGTTTTGCTATAATAAAAGCCCTAAATGTATTGCTACTGTCTAGATGTTTTATCTGAAACAAGTGTCCTTTGTAGTCTCAGAGGACTTTTCTATTTTATTTCCAGTAAATCAAAGTCTGTGAAGAGCTTCAGTTCTTATTAAGACATACCCTTCACAGTCCAGTGATTGCCAACTGTGGCAAGGCATTGACAGTTCATTTACATATAAGTGATGACTTCCATCAGGTAGTTGGCTCAAAAACACAATGGACATTTAGAGCATATCCAATATTTCTTGTTCTTTGATGAGCACCAAGTGCCAATTTTTATATAGAAACTGACTATTGAAAAGTGAAGGCTTCTTTTCCATGACCTTACACCGTCTTCTACATGTCTACAGTGAAATATTGTCACTGAATTTAATGTAGGCTCACACCTCTAAAAGACACTCAGTAGCCTTACTTCAGCTTGGTAAAAATCAAGGAGTCAAATGTTGAAAACCTGAAACAAGAACTATCACATTTTATTAAAGGAAAAGTGAACTTCCTCATCCTGTCCTAAACTGTCATAATTGTAACAATTTTCATATTTTTATAAAGTAATTTTGACATTATTAATTTTCTCATAAATATATTTACCACTTGAAATAGTGATTATACAACACTTATTAAGAAAACTTATATTATTTTGTAAGCGTCTTTCATTATAACTCCATGATTTTGTTCCTAATGTTTTTTGGAAGAGCAGTGGTTGAAATCTAGCCAAATTTTTGTTCTAATTATATTTTAAAAAGGAGCAGGCTGATGACTTGTAATCATGCTTATATTCAACCTGTGTAATTTTTTCCTTTTTTAAAAAGTTGTGCATTTTCTGCTTTTTTCAGTATATAAACAAAAAATACTTCTATCTTTAAAATAAATTAAATTATCAATAAGAATATGAATAATTAAACTTCACATGTGAGCCAAATTCTACATTTTAGCTTTAGCTAGTAATGACTTCCTCTCCCCACATCAAATGTTTTTCTGTTACAATTTTCTGGTTAGAGCTTCATCATGGTTTTTAGTTCATCTTGATTTTGGTTTGGGTGGGGCCTGACTTAACATGATTCTTGTAATTGGCTTTTCTAAAGATTGAATAATTTGCATAGATATTCTTACAGTAAACTCAATTGCATAAAAGTAACCTGAGAGTTTTTTGTTTGTTTTAAAACCAAAGGCACTATTACAGAAGTAATTGATGCAAAGAAAAAACTGTGAAAACAATGGGACATTTGTCATGTAGTTCCCAGCTCTTTTTCGTATCTAGCTTCTGTGCTATGCATAGGCTCTCTTCCTTCAATCACTGTTCCTCACTTGTTTCTCTAATTCCATTCAAAATAGAAAGATAGTTAGATGAATAGATCAAATTAAATTCAAGATTCTTAAGAAAACTTTGCTTCAAATTCTTTCAGCATTGGGGCTGGACATGGTGGCTGAGGTGGGTGGATAATTTGAGGTCAGGAGTTTGAAACCAGCCTAGCCAATGTGGTGAGACCCTGTCTCTATTAAAAATACAAAAATTAGCTGGGCGTGGTGGTGGCACATGCCTGTAGTTCCAGCTAGTCGGGAGACTGAAGCAGCAGAATCACTTGAACATGGGAGGTGGAGGATGCAGCGAGCCAAGATTGCGCCACTACACTCCAGCCTGGGCGACAGAGGCAGACTCCATAACAACAACAACAATAAAAATTCTTTCAGTGCTAAGGCAAATCAACTCAGAAATACTGTATGTTGCTTCTTACTTTTTTAATTTAGAGTGAGCAATGAGTAGGGAAAAATAATACCACAACTATACCAAAAATTAACACAGTTTCAAACAACCATTCCCGAAAAATTTAAGTGATAAAGGACAGTATTGTATACCAGATTCGTGCATTTTAGAAATAAAAAGTTTAAAGTTTCTTTATGTTATTTATTGGTAATGGAACAACATAAATTATAGTCCAATGAAAGGAGTACCTGACACTATGTAGGTTCCTACTTCATTATGATAAAACAGAAGATTAAGTGAATGGTGTTCATCCAGAGATATTAGAAATCACAGATGAACTTGCCAAAGTCCTTTACATATAAAAAGATTTTTATCCTTTCTTCCTATTGATACAGAATTGATCCATCTCCAATGCTAACTTTTCGAGGTTTCACTATTGTAGGTAATAATATGTTAGTAACATTATTCAACCTTTCGTGACTTATAATGTTGTCTCATTTTCCTTTCTCTTATGGATCCGGCCACCAACTTTCCAACAGCCTGAATGTTAGCTCGTTTGAGTATTGGATGTCCGTTCACTATAATATAAAACATACAGTTACATTAATATATTTTCAATTAATATGATAGTAATGTATCATGCTTTTAAAATTCTGTAAGTTACAGGAACTAATGATGGTTGTGTTAGAATATGCAAAAGATTTGACTTGGGCTCATTTCCTTTAGGTGCAGTGTGTTACTTTATATATCATGCCAAGAGACTCAAAGTTACTGTTAAGCCAAAGCATTGAGGGAAGGGATGGGTGAAACTGGGTTCAACTAATATACAGAAGACCATCAGCCCTCTGTATCTATGGAGTCCCCAGTAGTGAATTCAATAACTATAGATAAAACATGTTCAGAAAAAGAAATTTCACAAAGTTCTAAAAAGCACAACTTGAATTTGCTGCACAAGTACTTTGTTGAATCCACATGAATGAAGAGGTATGTAGCTATTGTGTTAGGTATTATGTATAACCTAGAGATGATTTAAAGTATTTGGGAAGATGGGTATAAATTATATGCAAATACTACCCAATTTTATATAAAGGACTTAAGCATGTGTGAATTTGCATATTTGATGGAGATTCTGGAACCGATTTCCTACCAGCATTGAGGGATAAACCATACTTGAAATAAATTAGATGCAACACATGTTTGCTTTTAAGACAAACAGTATTGACTTTTTTACATTACAGTGTAATCAGTTCTGATAATAATATTTAAATCAACATAAACCACTATTTGTATAGATTACTTGTATAGATCCATCTTTATGTATAAAATGACTTCCCAGTTAATAAATAAAAGATATAGATTTACTGTGGTCACCATTATACACAGAAATAATTTACACATAAGGTAGTATATCTTTGCTATTTAGGTCCTATAGTTGTTATTAAACAAAAACATAACCAGCTGCCAAAAACCAGTTAAAGTTATAAGAAGAACAATAATCCACATGGCTAAAAGGAAATTAATGGCTTGAGGTATTATAAGAAATAAGGTATTGTTGCTGGGTTGATGTAGCTCCATATTGTTATTTAACAAAGAGCAAGGCCTTATAACAAGATTAAATTGGGCCACATTAAAAAAGGATCTGACTAGTCATTTTCCCAAAAAAGGTATAAAAATGGACAACAGTAATATGAAAATATACTCAACATCATTAATTATCAGGGAATGCAAATCAAAGCTACAATGAGATATCACCTCAGACTCCTTAGGATGCCTATTATCAAAACATCTAGAGATAGCAAATGTTAGCAAGCGTTTGGATACAACTTGTACACTGTTGATGGGAATTTAGATTGGTGTAACCATTCTAGAAAACAGTATGGAATTTCCTAAAATATTAAAAATAGAACTACCATAAGATCCAGTAATCCCTCTTCTCAGCATATACCCAAAGGAAATGAAATCACCACCTGGTAGAGATTATCTACACTTCCACATTCACTGAAACATTATTCACAGTAGCCAAGATATGAAAACAACTTTAATATCAAAGGACAAATAAAGAACTATAGCATATATATGCAATGGAATATTATTCAGCCTTAAAAAGAAATCCTGCCATTTGCCACAACAAGGGTGAACTTAAAGGGCATAAAGCGAAATATTGCATGGTTTCACTTACATGTGGAATCTGAAAAAAAAGAGTCAAACATACAGACATAGAGAATAAAATTTGTTACTAAGGTGGAGGATGGAGAGGAAATGGGAGATCACAAAGTAGCAGATGTTTAAGATGAACAGTGTAGAGATATAATGCACAACCTGAAGACCACAGGCAAAAAAAATTGCCTGATATTTGGGATTCCCACTAAAGATCTCAGTGTTCTTGTGGCAAACAAAATAAATGGGAACAATGTGAGACAATAGATATGCTAATTTGCTTCACTATATTAACTATTTTACTATTTACACATATCCCATTACATCATCTTGTTTACTTTAATACACACAATAAAACATTTTTTTAAACTGACAAATTAGGCCACAGTGAGAGTATTTGCAAAAGAATTAGTAGTTTTCATTCCCAGTATGATCATAGGGAAAAGCAACCACAAATTAGTGTCCTAATCCTAATTTACTACAGTTACACTAGAAAAGCATGAGATATGCATACTAGTTATTGAAATGGGATCTCAGGATAAAATGCTTTCCTATTATGAATTGCTTTAATAATACCAAGCACATATTTCATCAAGCAAAAGATAGTTAAAGTATAATATTACTCAAAGTAGCTAAAATAGAAAGAAATGTGAAAATTAGGGCCTGAATTCTTGTTCTTACACATTTCTGAGTGAATCCAGATTTAGTACTCAATCTCAGTTTCCCTACTTTTGAAATTGGAGGTAGTAGCTATTTTGTCTAGTTGTTGAAAGGACTGAAAACTATAGGTCAAAAGACATATTTGTAGTAATACTTCATGAATGTTAACTCTTCAGTTGTCATGAATGTACCACACTAATGCAAGGTGTTAATAATAGGAGAAATTATTAATAGGGCTGGGGTGCAGTTGTGAGGGTACATGGGAACACTCTACTTTCTATCCAATATTTCCGTAAACCAATATTTCTGTAAAAGTGGAATAATTATAATACTAAAAGCTTATAATTTTAAAACAGATATATCTGACACATTATCAATATTAAAAAATAGTTTCTGGGTTATCTACCCTATGATATTATAAAATAAGCTTTTTAAAGAAATTTTACTGACAATCATAATAATGTTATTTCATAAACATTTAAATTAAAGAATAATTTCATTTAGGATAGATAAAAATATAAGTACACATAATATATCTTTAATCTTTCAAAGTAAATATTCTTGACATTCATTTTTGTCATATGGCAGAATAGACTCAGAGAACAATTTTGATAAAAACAAGTGAAATCCTGAATAATATGTTAAATGTATTTTAACTTCATTACTAAGCTGGCAGAGAGGGAAGAAAATGCAAAAGTCAAAAACAAAGTGAAATCAGTAAGCTTAGTAAATATTTGAAATGCAAGCCAATTTTTTTGGTTGTAGGTTGGGGATGGAGGATAAAGCATAGGATCCACCCAAAAGAGAGAGTATATCATGAGACCACAGTGCACACCTGGGGTCTCAGAGGGCCGTGCCATCAGAGTGAGTGGAAATGAGAAAGAGAGAGAGACGTGGGTTGAGGGGTGGAGAGGGTGCAGGAAAGAAGAAAGAGAGGGAAAAATGAAAAGAAAGAAAAAATGAAAAAAACCTAAAGAAGGGGACATCAAGGAAACTTCTCTGTTTCCATGAGGCTGAGTAGAGTAATCATAAATAAACCCAAAGGTGGGTTTGGTGTTCCAGTTCATGTCACTTGTGTGATCAAAAAATATCTCAAATAACTAAAATTTGTTGGTCCCCAAGAACAAGTGAAAAACCTTTCAAGAGGGAAATAGCTTCAACAAAGGCCTTTAAAATATGTCATAAAAATATTTTATTAACCCCTACTGTGTTACAACATATTTTTCAATGGAAAAGCAGTACCTATAACATAATACTTGTATTTTAAAGTTATACAGAGAGAAAACATGTAAAATTTCACCTATTAAAATGTTAATGATGAGTTTAGATATAATTTAGCCTTAGATACATTTTCAATGGAAAATATTATTTATGTAAAAATAGCAATATTAGAAATCTAAGTTTCTAGATGTAGAGTGAAATGCATGGTAGAAAGTCATTTTTATTGTAGATAATTAAGAAATAATCAGAAATGCAACAGTTTTGTTTCTATTTCAATAATTTAAAGAATGGTTTTAAATGGTGAAATTGTTCAAATTAAATAGATAATATGCTGAATACATGATTTATAGGCTGGATTTTCAGAAATGGGACATTATTTTTTCCTCAAACGTTCAAAGTATGATTGTGTCCTATGTTTTCTTTTAAATTATCTACAAATTTTTATATTCACAAGTCCATGTTATTATTTTTCATGCAAATTCCCTGACCTACTCAAGGTTATATATTGTTCTACACTATTGGCTACTTCTTGTGAATACTTTAAAATTAATCTTTGTAGAGAAAGTTGGAAAGAAAACAAACACAGAGAGTTTTGCAAAATAAAATAAGCATTTAGGTCATTGAGTATCTACTGAGTCCTGTTTGTTTAGATTCATGCTAAGTGCTATGGGGTAATATAAAGGACACTAGCTGAGACCTTTCTGGGTCTTCATTTGCTAATCAAGAAATAAACAAGAGAGGAAAACGCTATAATTATTGTGTTACTCATAATAACCTAGTTAAAAAAATAAAGTGAAAGCACTACCTCACACAGTATCAGGCTCTGCACATCAGAATGTTATCATAATCAATATAAAGCAAAATACAGTTCTAGATGGAAATTAACATATTTAAGTATAGTAAGCCTTCTGTACCTCAATTCAACTAACTGTGGATCTAAAATATTTAGAAAATGCAGTAAAAATAACAATACAATAATAAAAACCAAAAATTTTTAAATGCAGTGTAACACATATTTAAATGGCATTTACATTGTATTCGGTATTAAAAGTAATCCAGAGAAGATTTAAAGTATCTGAGATGATATGCGTAGGTCTTATGCAAATACTACATCATGTTTTATAAGAAACTTATGTTTCTTATAAGAAACTTTATAAGAAACTTATGTTTCTTATAAAACATGATGTGGTATTTATGTTTTATAAGAAACATTCAAAAACTCATGGTATTTACATAAATACCATGAGCATCTGTGGGTTTTGGTATCCTCAGGAAGTCCCAGAGTCAATTCCCTGTGTATACTAAGGGACTTATGGTATGGTTTGGCTATATCCCCACCCAAATCTCAACTTGAATTGTATCTACCAGAATTCTGATGTGTTATGAGAGGGACGCAAGGGGAGGTAACTGAATCATGGGGGCCAGTCTTTCCATGCTGTTCTCATGATAGGGAATAAGTATCACGAGATCTGATGGGTTTATCGGGGGTTTCTTCTTTTGCTTCTTCCTCATTTTCTCTTGCCACCACCATGTAAGAAGT